ATTTTCAACAAGGACATCACACAAAGATCATGCTCTTCTCTTCATAACTCTAGCTAATATTCAAACTGAATCTTAAACACCAAGTTCAGCCATTTTTAAGGACAAAATATAAACAGTTTGTCCATGTCCTTAAAAAATAGATTAATGTAATCTATGTTACTCATCCATACCATACCCTTGGTCCGTATATGTTCTGAAAGAAGCCGGAAGCCATTCTTGTTTTCCACGCATTGCTTTATAAACGCCAATAAGAAAATCAAGCCACAAAGCCGAAATCAATAAATCGAGACCTCTATTTGGGTCGGGGTCGAGAAGAATTAAGTTAGCGTTAAATCTCACACCCCCGTTTACCCTGAAAGCATGTACTCGGCAATTTCTAAACACACGCAATAGGCAGGAGGCAGAAAAAACCAACTGTGTGCGAGAGTTCTATCCAGAACCAAACAACAAGTCTTGTAGAAATGTATCAGGAATCCAGAACCGTGGTTTCGCGGTGGCATGATGATTAATAGCATGTTCAAAATCACGTTTGACAATTGGATTAAAAATTCCACTGACGAACCCTAAGTGTCAGCCAAAAATTGAAGCCTCTTTTCGGAATTCCAAAAAAAGGGATGATTCAATATATCTGTAGCAGCAGGACTTAATGAAAATAAAAGAGGGATTAGTCATTATTGACTTATAATAAAATAAAGAGCGTTAAACAAGGATAATAAAACTCTAAAATTCCCTTACTTGTCAGTAAGAATATGAAAAACTAAATGCTTCGCCACCTCAAAGATTGGTTGTCCACCAACTGCAAAAAAAGTTTGTGGTTATATAATGGGAGTCCTCGTACAATACCTTCTAAGCCAAGACACAATCGATTTGGAACAGCCTTAGGGCCTCCAAAGTATTTGGCGAAAACATAAGCCAAATCTTGAACGTCGGATATTGTTTGTCGTCAGATTAAATGACATGATATTAATTACTGCATAACCAAAATTAATAACTAGTAATTTTACCTCTCACTGTCACCCCCCAAGGTCGAGTTGTAACAGACCCGTCTCTTCAGAGAAAACGAAGGTATAATGTTTGCGTAAACCTGTATGCAAAAAACCACTGCGGTGGATAAATATTACCCCTTTAAGATTTGTGTCAGCACATTGCGTGTCGACCGCAATGCATCATTCCTTGATGTGATGCTAAACACATAGTCTCTGAAATCATTTTCAGCTACAACTTGGAAGGTAATAACATTGGATGGGGCCAAGGGGCTCCATGGAGGTTTACACTATAAGGCTTAGGCATCACTTCAGGACGAATAAGTATGGAGGTAAACCTTATTCGACTCTGAAGTGATGCCTAAGCCCTATAGTGTAAACCTCATAAAGCCCCTTGCCCCCATCCCAATGTTACTACCTTCCAAGTTGTAGCTGAAAATGATTTCAGAGACTATGTTTAGCATCACATCAAAGAATGATGCACTGCGGTCGACACGCAATGTGCTGACACAAATCTTAAAGGGGGTAATATTTATCCACCGCAATGGTTTTTTTGCATACAGGTTTACGCAAATATTATACCTTCGTTTTCTCTTAAGAGACGGGTCTGTTGCAACTCTGACATTGGGGGTGACAGTGAGAGGTAAAATTACTAATTATTAATTTCGGTTATGCAGTAACTAATATCATGTCATTTAATCGGACGACAAACAATATCCGACATTCAAGATTTGGCTTATGCTTTCGCCAAATACATTGGAGGCCCTAGGGCTGTTCCAAATCGATTGTGTCTTGGCTTAGAAGCTATTGTACGAGGACTCCCATTATATAACCACGAACCTTTCTTGACAGACGGTGGACAGCCATCTTTGAGAATGAGACAAAGCATTTGGTTTTTCATATTCTTACCGACAAGTAAGGGGGAATTGTAGAGTTTTAATATCTTTATCCTTGCTAAACGCTCTTTATTTTATTATAAGTCAATAATGACTAATCCTATTTTTTTATATTGAATCATCCCTTTTTTTGGGATTCCGAAAAAGAGGCTTCAATTTTTGGCAACACTCAGGAGTTCGTCAGTGGAATTTCTAGTCCAATTGTCAAACGTGATTTTGAACGTGCTATTAAACATCATGCTATCGCAAAACCACGGTTCTGGATTCCTGATACATTTCTGCAAGACTTGTTGTTTGGTTCTGAACAGAACTCTCGCACACAGTTGGTTTTTTCTGTCTCCCGCCTATTGCGTGCGTTTAGAAACTGCCGAGTACATGCTTTCAGGGTAAACGGGGTTTAAGATTTAACGCTAACTTAATTCTTCTCAACCCGACCCAAATAGAGGTCTCGATTTATTGATTTCGACTTTGTGGCCTGATTATCTTATTGGCGTTTATAGAGCAATGCATGAAAAACAAGAACGGCTTCCGGCTTCTTTCAGAACATATACGAACCAAGGGTATGGTATGGATGAGTAACATAGATTACATTAATCTATTTTTGAAGGACATGGACAAACTGTCTATATTTTGTGTTTATATTTTGTCCTTAAAAATGGCCGAACTTGGTGTTTAAGATTCAGTTTGAATATCAGCTAGAGTTATGAAGAGAAGAGCATGATCTTTTTGTGTGATGATCTTTGTGTGATGTTTATGTTAGTGCTTGAGCCTCGGTTTTGTTGTGATATCCTTGTTGAAAATGACCAGATCAGACCATTGATCGAGCCAATCAATGTGTCTGGGGAAAAGCAGACAAGGCCTGATTGGGTTGGGTGGGTTTTACCGGGCCTTGTGTGGAAAAGGAATTGGGGATCGGATTCAAACCGGGAATGGTCGAGCTGTGCAGAGATGAATCCCTGTGAGGTGGTTAGGGAGAGCCAACTCCTGCATACGCATCTGCAGACGACGATGTGCTTTGCGTGTAACCGGAGAAGGACCAGGGATGTTTCTCTTTTCAGCATGTTTCTCTTTTCAGCAGGCTCCATTCTTCTTTTAAATTAGGGTTTTCTTTTATTTGGCGAAATGATGTGTTTTGAACCTGCTGCCAAGACCCCCTGCCACCTCCTATTGACATGGAAGAAGTCCGAGAATCTGCACATCCTTTTTCTCGAACCAAATATAGGCGTCTATGAATTGATTTTGATATGCGATAAGCCTGAAACACAAGGATAATATGATATTGTGATAAATCCCTTTAAGGCAAAATCAAGATTATTCATCAACGGAACATGAATTTGCAGCAACATAACCATCTCAACATCATCCCATATCACACTCATCAACCTTGACTAATTACATTCTCCGTAATTTATTCAACGACATATCATGAAACAACCAGGCCCATTGTCGATGGTTAAAAGTCAATATTAATAACTTTCCCAAGATTGAAAAAGCCGGATAGTCAAGTTGGTATGGCATCCCAAATGGTGGGCATATCACAAGATCATTGTGGAAAGGATAAACAAAGATGTATTGCCAGGACAAAAACATGAAACAAAAAAAAGGCCAAAACATAATGAGATGACAATTTATGTTGATAAAGTGTGAAATGTTACATTCTTTCATGAAATTCAGCTAATCTGAGATAATCTCAATAAGCATGTCACAAGCCAAAACAGTTCATCACAACAGACAAAAACCATGTACGTTCAACTAAGTTTAAGTTCTAATTCCAACTGATCTGCACGGCTTTTCACACAGAACTTGCTTCTAAAAATTCCACAAAACCAAAAGAGGACATTTCGCGGCAGCAAAAAAATAATATACTTATATGCTGTATTTTTCAAAAGACGCATGCTGGGGCAAGAATCATCACGGATCACTCAATTAAGAGGTAACAGCATTATAGTCTAAAAAGAAATACCGTCTTCCCTCTAGCTTGATTTATGTATTTCTGAGTAACATTCTTTGGAGGCCTCTTCACATATTCTGAGCAACAATGGGCTGCATACAGCACATGATACAAGTTTAGAAAGAAAAAGAAAAACCAAAAAGAGAATCAACCGAAGACACCGGAAGATAGATTCGACTGAAGACAAGTACATGAAACATGAACATGCAGATAAAACAATTCTGAAATCAAGCCTTCACCCTTTTGATTGTGTCCACTGTTTAGTGGTGCTTTTCCAGGATCCATTGGAGGGGGAGAAAAACGCTTTTCCAGGATCCATTGGAGGGGGAGAAAAACTTGCAACGGCTCCCTTGAGATGCATCAGCTGAAAAAAATAAAAAGAAAAAAAAAAAGAATAGAAACCAGTAGACAAACAGGGAATCAGAAACTGTCACACCTACCTTAATTTATTTAGCAAGGAATGGACTACAAAAATGGGATACACATAATCAAAGATAAATAAATCTAAGAGATACTCATTTTTAAAGATGGACATCACTACGTACAACAGACGCATACGACTCCTTCGAAATTTGATCGTGTTTGGCACTGGATTTAATCACCACCTCTTTATCATCCCTTAACTCATCAACGAAATCGGATACTGGAACTTCTACTCCACCAAAGAACAAACTGTAGCCATCCTCTGATGCACTGTAAACTTCACCTGCAATGGCTGATTCCTCGGCAGAAAAATAAGTTATATTAGCTCAGAGAGCAATGGATAGAACAAGAAAAGAAAAATGTGCAGATGGGGTAGGGTTACCTGGTGTTGTGGTTGGACGCACCACCACTTCGCTTCCTAAAGTTGGGTTCCCATTGACAATATCCACACATCGTAACAGGTTGCTTAAAACAAAGTAGCCTTTCTCTTGTGGAGTTAATATCTGAGGACCAGACCTCGGCAAAAGTTGGTTCACATTTCTTCGAAATGATTCTAACCACCTTGTACACGTCAGACTCTTCGTCCCAGCAGAAGGCAAATGTGGCCTGAATATTGGAAAAGCGCTCGAAAAGGCGGATGCCCATGGGGAGTTTCTTTGAGAGCCCAGTGGATGGGTTCCATATCCAGATGTCATTGGGGGTCGGCCAGCGGCAGTACCTCCAGCTTGTGGAGCAGATCAGACCAAATCAATGTGTCAGGGGAAAAGCAGACGAGGCCTGATTGGATTGGGTGGGTTTTACTGGGACCTTGTCTCTTTCCAAACTAGGGACTGAATCGTGGAAAAGGAATTGGGGATCGAATTCAGACCGGGCATGGTCGAGCTGTGCAGAGATGAATCCCTGTGAGGTGGTTAGGGAGAGCCAACTCCTGCATACGCATCTGCAGACGGCGATGTGCTTTGCGTGTAGCCGGAGAAGGACCATGGATGTTTCTCTGTTCGGCAGGCTCCATTCCTCTTTTAAATTAGGGTTTTCTTTTATTGGGCAAAACGATGTAAATTTGAACCTGCTGTCAAGACCCCCTTTATTGTAACCACTGTCACCTCCAATTGATATGGGAGAAGTCCGAGAGTCTGCCCATCTTTTTTCTTGAACAAAAGAAGCCTGAAACACAAGAATCATGCTGAGGCAAGAATCATCACGGATCACTCAATTAAGAGGCAACAGCATTAACGTTTAAAAAGAAATACCCTCTTCCTTCTAACTTGATTTCTGTATTTCTGAGTAGGCCCAATTTCTTAAACACATCTTCAAGTGACATCTACATAGCATTCTTTGGAGGCCTCTTCACATATTCTGAGCAACAATGGGCTGCATACAGCACAGGATACAAGTTTAGAAAAGAAAAAAAAAAAAAGGAAAAAGAAAATCAACCGAAGACACCGGAAGGCAGATTCAACTAAAGACAATTACGTGAAACATGAACATGCATATAAAACAATTCTGAAATCAATCCTTCACCCTTTTTATTGTGTCCACTGTTTAGTGGTGCTTTTCCAGGATCCACTGGAGGGGGAGAAAAACTTGCAGCGGCTCCCTTGAGATGCATCAGCTGAAAAAATAATTATAATAATAATCAAAAAAAAAAAAAGAATAGGAACCAGTAGACAGACAAAACAGGGAGTCAGAAACACTCACACCTACCTTAATTTATTTAGCAAGGAATGGGCTACAAAAATCGGATACACATAACCCAGCCTGTGTTTATTTCATTATGTCTTGATTTTATAACTAACGTTCAATGGCAAGTCAAAATGGATAAAACAGACAAAAGAAAAATAAATCTAAGAGACTCTTTTCTTAAAGCTGGACATCACTACGTACAACAGACGCATATAACTTTTTTGAAATTTGATCGCGTTTGGCACTGAATTTAACCACCAGCTCTTTATCATCCCGTACCTTATCAATGAAATCGGATACTTGAACTTCTATTCCACCAAAGAACAAAATGTCGCCATCCTCTGATGAACTGTAAACTTCATCTGCAATGGCTGATTCCTCTGCAGAAAATTAAGTTATGTTAACTCAGAGAGCAAATGATAGAACAAGAAAAGAAAAATGTACAGAAGGGGTAGGGTTACCTGGTGTTGTGGTCGGACGCACCACAACATCACTTCCTAAAGTTGGGTTCCCGTTGACAATATATCGTAACTGGTCGCTTAAAACAAAGTAGCCATTATCTTCTGGAGCAAGAAGAAAGACTTGACCGGAATTTTAACTACATTGTCATGCCCCACGAGATGGCCAGTGACAACAACATAAACTTCACCTTGAAGAGTCTCCGATGAATCCACCGACTTGATCTCAACTCTTAAGTCCCCATAGTTGAGCGAGACAATCTTCTCTTTGATGGCCTTCATGGTTAGTTAAGTCACATCAAACACCAATGAAAAAAGAATTTAAAGTAACAAGGAGCCATCCAAGCTCGATATTCTAATTCAAATCAGATAACACCTCCTCAATGCACTAAATGTAAAACTTTGAAGAGGAAATGCCAAACTTAAGAAATATGATTGTTCCATCATCTAAATTCTCTCCTTCCTCCATGTAATGTAACCTACCTACCAAATCTACTTCAAATACAACAGAATAAACGGCCCTAGGAATAATAAGGAACAGGAAAACAACGGTAGTTTACTTGACAGGTTGTGGTGACACTCATGGAGCCATCCTCCTCGAAACGTTGGATGGTACTCTTGTCTTGATAGAATTTATTAGCCATCTCCGGCGAGCTATGCAGAATGGCATAGTATTTCTCTACAAATAATCTCCCAACCTACCTTCCATAAAAAATAACTAACTCAAACCTAGTACGAATAGATTTTGAACCTAAAAGAACAAAAACAAAAAACTCACAATTTGTGTAGAAACTGGTTGCTGAGATCCCACTGCCGCTGCCATTTTCGGATAAACAATCTTAACTTCAAGCAATCATCAGCTTACAGAGAAAAAAACATGAGAAATAAGCTCAATAACTATCTGCGTGTTACGAAAAGGGAAGGATTAAGGATGGTGATGATCGCATAAACGGAAAAGGCAGGATCTTTGGTGCCGGATCTCAAATTGGGCAAAAGTATAGAACCCTAGATCGATCGAATTGGGTGAAGAGGGCAAAAGTATAGAACCCTAGATCGATCGATCGAACGGATTGAGATATATACAGGGATTGGGTCAAAGGAGAGGACACGCACCAAAAGGGAAAAGGTCCGTAACATTCTGCGGGATTTTCTCTGTAAAATATATTGGCCACAATGTATTGTTTTATATTTTCTATTAGTAAATCTATCTAAAAAACTCATTTGTAGAAACTTTTAAAAAACTGGTCAACAAATACTTTGACTTACCATTTGTGGTAACCTATTTAAATCCAAAAATTATTTATCCTTCTCTTGATATGGCAAAAAGATTTCCGGATTTTTGTTAATTAATCCATAATTTTCGTTATCAATTTCCAAAAAGTATTTATCTTTCTCTTGATATGACAAAGAGATTTTTGGATTTTCGTTAACCAATCCATAATTTTCGTTGTCCCTCTTTATATTTTTTATTTTCTTTTTGTTTCAAATCATTCCAAAAACTGGTTGTTACCATTTAGTACGAAAATCTATTGGCAATCTTTTGAGAATCGTGCAATTTCAAATTCTCATTCCTTATTTTGCGGCTGAGTCAATTTGTCATTCCTTATATTTAGCATCACGCGCCGCTTTAAAAAACAAACAATTTGAAATTGTGATTCCATATTTAAAAAACCCTTCAATTTGAAAGTGTGACTCCATTATTTACGTGAAAAAATCAACTAAAATTCCTAATAAGGTGCGAGTGTTACATCCTTATCAAAATCAATTTAATATCTTATCAAAATCAATCCTTCTTTATCGTTAACAATTTTAAGAATATTATCTTAACAAAATCTTTCCATATTTTACGTGAAGATAATTGTGCAGATCAAAAGTATGTATAAAAGTGTGTTCATTCATAGCATTTTTTTATCACCTCTTTCACAACGTGCAGAGAAAACAATACAGAGAAGTTTCAATATACACACAGAATATAATGCAGCCATTCTTTGATACAATCTTCTCCGTCAATAGGGCCAACATACCATTTTTGCGGTTGAGAGTAGTCCGACTTATTGAAACGCATTATGATCAGGAGTGGTTGAACTGTTTCCATATCTTGTTTCATGATCAAGAGGTAATATTTTTATGTTATATCTCAATTTATTGTATATATTGTTAAATCATATTAAAAATATTAAATTTATTAAAAAGAAGTCTTTAATATTATTTAAATTATATAGACAACAAAATACACAAGTAGTTTTCGATAACTAATTCATACACTTGAAATCGGTCAATTTTGACAAACTCTACATCAATATTTTAAATTATTTTGTTTTACTGAATGTTTGTTATTATATAATAGTTATGATGACATTTATATAAGAAAATGTTAAATAGGCAATTGAAATATTCTGCACATTAGATAAAATATTTTAGTATTTAAAATAGTACTTATTTATTTACGAAAATAAATATATAATTGAATTTTCATAGCAATATAATTGATACCATATCTTAATATTCTAAATTTATTAATTGCAAAATAGAAAAAAATCACTTTATAATTTGTTTACGAATCTTTCAGTAGTTTACCATATGTTAATATTCTAAATTTATGTAAGATTTAGAACTATACCAAACTATACCAAACTAATCATCATTTAACATGCAATTTGCTAGACTTTGCTGCAATCAGATACGATCACTTCAAGAATTATAAAGAAAAAAAATTATTCTACCTCATATCGACAGACGCCGGCTTTCCGTTTTGCCGTCAAATGCCTCTTCTAATCGAAGTCCAGTGCTCATAGCATAAAGAAAAAAAAAAATAGATTTTGCATCCTGTCAAAGAACAAACACTGAGACATCACAAAATATGAACCCGGATTAAATAAATAGTAAAATAATTATAATTATAAACAGATTTGAAAAGGTGCTTAGAATATCTATAAAAATGATCAATTGAACAAAAAATAAAAAAAATAAAAAATAAAAATACAAACCTTTGTGTAGTCGGCAATCGATTTCGTGATCCCAAAACGAAAATAGTAAAAAAACATGTGAGAAGCCCTAGCTCTGCTATTTTTTGGGGGTTTTTTCATATATTTTTTTTTTTTTTGAAATCGCACACAAAACGCGAGCAGTGAGAGAGAAAAGGGAAGAATGACGGCGATCGGTGTGGTGAAATGAAATGGAAACCCTTATTTTTTTTTTTCTTTTATACCCTTTGTAAACAAATTACAACCGTTAATCGTTATATGTGTAACAATACTGACCGTCCGATTTTTTGTGTTTATACATTTTGGGCCTTTTTTTGAAACCCCGATTATTTCTTAAAAAACAAAAATGTTAGGTCCTCTTCTCCAATATATATAGATTGGGCTACAGATATCGGGCCTTTATCATCAATTTGATGAAGCAGCCCAACCTTTTTATTAATTGGGTTGCTTTATTTATTTTATTGGGTTAATATTTTACTACAATTTTGAGTTTTGACTCATTATCCTAATATTTCAAAAAAATTGGATAGTTTGTATAATTTATAATATGTTGAATATTGTTTAGATTCAAAATTTAAATTTCTAAAACATTCGAATTATAAATATTTTTTTTCTGTAATAGTATAATATATGAAATGTGTATAATTTAATAAAATTACTGTATTATTTTCATTTAATAATATTTAGCATTAGTTGCTTTAATATATGATGAAATCTGAATTACTGAATTATTTTTATTAATGTTGTGTAATAATTATGTACTTTTGAAATTATCAATTACACAAATAAATTGAAAATAATTTTGCAATTATGTTATTTTGACTAGGTACTATGAATTTGATATTTGCATTGGATCAACTATTACTAAACGTCACTGAAGGTTGATGTTGTCGAGTACATCAAGTCGGACTCTAATAATGATTTCTTTCTGATATCCATACGCCCGAGTTCTTGAATAGCATCAAATGTTCTGGAATTCTAAATCATCAGTTACATCTGAAGATTGAAACCCCCGTCATGTTATTGCGGAATATGAATCATTCTATGGGTTTATGTAACGGGACACAGTTGGTTGTGACAAAATTATCCGCTCATGTTCTTGAGTGTATGATACTGACTGTGGATCACGAAGGTGAGAAGGTGTTGATTCCTAGAATGACTATAACTCCTTCCGATGTAAGAATTCCTTTCAAGTTCCAGAGGCGATAATTTTCCATTATCAACAAGAGCCAAGGACAATCGTTATCGCATGTTGGTTTATTTCTTAAGAAGTCGGTGTTCAGCCATGGACAATTATATGTTGCTGCCTCTCGTGTCACCAATCAGAGTGGGTTGAAGATATTAGTCTGTAATGACAATGACTTGACACCAAATCAGACCCAAAACGTTGTGTACAAAGAAGTGTTTACTAATTTATGTAGATTTAAATTTGTTATTTTCCATTTTATATTTGTTACATATCTATAAAATGCAATAAGTTTAATGTTAATATTATAAAATTTCAAAACGATTTACCACCCCGTGCATCGCACGGTTCAGTACTAGTTTCCTTTAAACACAACTGGCCCATACGCTTTATAATTATTTAATTTGTTTATATTATAAATAATTATTTGTCGTTTGTAATTATTTCTTATCTAAATTTGTAAATAAGTATTGGTGTATTGTTTGATGATATTTATTCATTGTAATTTAATATTTTGTTGTCTTTCAAAAAATAGAAGTGAATATCAAAATATTTATTAATAATGAGCAGCATAAAAGCTTATGTAATATTTTCTATGCAATACAATTAGTAAGGAATGATGAATATAAATTTTCTTAATTTTTAGTTAACTAGTACAACACCCGTGTATTACACGGGTGCTTGCTATTTTTTTTTAAATCTAAAATTAATAAGAAAAAGTAGTTTGAAAATTTAAATACTTTTTATAAGAATATATATAATATTATATATATTATGACACTTTTTATTTGTGCAACTTACTTGTGTTATATTATACTATTTTTTTAACTTACAATATATAACTACATTACATATAAATATATCAATTGAGAAATAATTTTATTTTTCTAATGAATTTTAATAAATATTATTATTTTTTATTATTATAAAGATAAATATAATTTATTTATTTCATATATACAATATGGATGTCAAATCGAAGATCATCAAAAGATGATTAATTTGATATATTATATATGTAAAACCGATAAGAAATACAAAAGTTATCAACTTTTAAAATACATTTATAATTCAATAGCTTATTGAATGAAACAAATCAAAGTTCAAGGATATATTAATCACTTAGTGTCTCACTATGTAAAATTACAAGGAATTAAAGGGTTATATTAGTAAAAGTGATATTAAAATACCTAAGTTAGCTAAATAATATTTATAGAATACCCGAACCTAGATTATTAATTATTAATATATCAATATTATTTATTCAAACCTAATTACGAAGCATGATTCTTCGCCAAATAGGATTCTAAAGCACCAGAAGCAGCCACGTAGGCTCAGCGCATTTGAGAATTATATATAGGGAGGATATTTATAATTTATAATCATTTAATTTGTACATACTGAAAAAAATTACGTGTTGTGTGTAATTATTTTTCTTATTAAAATTTGTCTATTGGTATTGGTTGTATTGTTTTATGAGATTAACCCGTGGGCCCATTTGATAAAATTTTTTTGAGGACTTTATAACTGGTTGTCCATATTTTTGTATGCAGGTCAAGTGTCACGATGTACCACACATTCGATCTTCAACATCATTAGATTAGAAAATTCATACACAGAATGTCATAACCCCTTGTTTGGCTACCTCTAAGC